TTAATATTGAATCGCTGAAATCAATAAATTAAGATTCAAGACAGGCAGTTTGTTTTGAAGCTGATTCCTTACTGGCAGTGAAGAAAAAAGATGACGAAGAATAGAGACACGTACTGTAATGCACAGCTCCAGAAAAGCAGCTTACATAGCCTGTCTCAGAAAGGAAGGATACCATATTTCAAATTCAGTGCCTTTAAAAAACAGTCTAATTTAGCCATGTTCTATGTCTATTCCTATTTCAGTCCTTGACCTCCATACTGTCAATAAAGATGGCAGTCACTGTTAACGTCAGAAATAAATAAATGTGCTGTGTGTCCAGTAGCAAACAGAATGAAACAGTTCATTTGACATGAATCCACCAGATGAGCCAGTCCAGATTTGCTCATTTCTATGTGCTCACTTCACACAGGTGAAAGTCTGCCACATCATTGAGCCTTGGATACCTTTATAACTTGGCTTTAATTTCACTTGTTTGTCTGACTTTGATGTTCCTTGAAATTTTATATTCTATTGTATTAATCACTTGACTTCGTGGCTACATACCTGTCACAATACAGTACTTCATAGATTTCTTTCTGGTTTTTCTACAGAGCAATGCTGATGACTGCTTGTGATTTATCAGCCATAACCAAACCATGGCCAGTTCAGCAACGGGTATATGCTTAATTTTAAGATTTGCTAAATAGAAACTCCACATAACAGCTTCTGCTTCCTCCATCCAGTCCTTATTGCAAAGGCAGTGGAGGAACACAGAGCCTTAGGAAGCAGTTCTTCAAAGTGCTGTATGTGGATGGAAGACTTTCTCAGGTCTATGTAGCAAGATCTGTGCATTTAGCTATGTCACCATGTTAGCAGTGATCTGAAGGTAAATTGGGAATCTTTGTTCTTTCCAACATTTCTCTGTTACTACAAGGCAGTCAATTGATACAACACGCTAGTATCAGCTGACCTTTTTCTGTGTGTGGATCATTCCAACTTTTATCATTAGTTAAGATGCCTATGTATCATTTTATTCTGTCAGAGAAAATATCAGCACACACAGGTGTTTTATTTGTGCACACATGTGCATGAAGAATTCTAAAAGCTTGCTGTTAAGCTGGAGAATCTCATTATGGGTCCCAATTCGATATATCCTAAGGAGAGATAGGAAACACAGGAAACAGTTTTGATTGTAGGTAGGCAAGCAAACTTTTAGAGCCCTCAATGTGTGAAATCTCTTACAGATTGCTGAGCTTGTCGCTACTGAGTTCTTTGATCAAGGAGATAAAGAGCGGAAGGAACTCAACATAGAACCAACTGTAAGTGGCAGAATCATGCAGAATTGCCTCTTTCAAAATGGCTGCTACAAACAGCACTTCCCACTCCTTTCAAAAGTCACAATTTTATTGAAATTCTATGAATTTCTCCCTCTGACCAACTCCTTCCCTGTCTTCCTAGTAGTTACTTTTCTTCTGTGGTTCCCAAACACCAACAGTGTGTTATTATCTCTGAGCCAGAAGAACAGACAATATTATTTCTTCTAAATTGGTATTACTAAATTGCCTAGGAAATACATTCCTAAATTGGTACCTATTTGCAACCTATCCAAAACCAGTAAGCTTGTCTATTTGTCTAGCTGTTGGGGCTCTGTCAGTCCAAAGACAATCTCCTAAGGCAAGTCATGCAGTCAAATTACCTGCATTGTAACACATGTACTGACACCCTGCTGTGCTGAGCTGCTTGTGCTTTTCAAGGTGCTGCTTTTTAATTCCAGCCTGTTCCTTTGGTTTTGGTTGGGTTTTTTATTTAATGCATTTAAACACAGAGCTTGTTTACTTCTTATCTGCAGGATCTAATGAACAGAGAGAAGAAAAATAAAATTCCCAGCATGCAGGTTGGATTCATAGATGCTGTTTGTTTGCAGCTGTATGAGGTATGGTGTCTAAGAAAGAATTGCAAATATCTAAAACCAGAACTGCTCACTGTAGCCTCTAATAGATGCAGATTTAAAATGAGAATAAAAATCAAATAAAAAACTAGTCTCTTAGTTAAAAAGATTTTTTTGTTATATATTACATATGGTTCATTATTCTGTTGAAGAAATTATTGTTTTAGTATTTATCATTAATGATATGTTTGTCTGATTAATGTATTTTGTTAGAATTTTTTAAAACCTAGTGGTAATTGCTGTGCTCTGTGCACTTGGTGTTAGATCCCTGGGTTATATTCTGGATTCCAGCAGCTCCAGTGAGCTGCTATGATCATCAGGGAAAGTCACAAAACTAATGCTTTGCCATCTAGGAAAAGAATGGTATCCATGTAGTGCATTGATAAAAAGTGTTGTTTAAGAGTTTTAAAGAATTCAGAATTCTTCATGCAAAAGGTGGTATGCTATGTATAGGAAACTTACCCAAGTTTAACATTTCCCATCTGTTTTTTTTTGTCTTTCATCACACACAAAAGCAGTACATGAGAGAATTCACTGAAATGTTTTTTATCCTGGTCACAAACTGTATAAGGAGATCCTTGGTCAGATATAGTGTGAAACAAAACATAATGATTTCTGATTTTTTTAACCAGTAAAGCACTAGAGTGAAAGCCTGTTCACTGCGACTGTAGCAACTATTTTACAGGAACTGAGGTGAGAAAAAGAAAGGTGAAGAACAGAGAGCCTAACTCTTAAGAATCTTCCAGTGGGAGGAATAACGTGATTACTCAAATTTTTCCCTCTTACACAGTAAACTTTTCTAAAAAGAATCCACATCCATCAGTTGGAAGGAAACTCCCCTTCCGGAGAGGGAGCTACTAACTGCTGCCCCTGAAACTCACATGTTTCTGTGCTGTAGAAGCTGTTTGTCAGGAAAATAAGGCAGCCTTTGCTGGGAAGCCTGAGAAAACTGTCTCCAGTAGGAGGCAGGCCATTGAAAGAACACCATACAAACAGAAAATTCTTTGAGCAGTACACCTGAGCAGACTTGAATGCCCATAGCTCCAGAGCCTGCACTTCTATACTTTTTCTTGTTAGGAGAGGGCTTTACCTCTCCATTTATGAAAAGACCCGAAAATTTTCCATTATTTACTCTGAAATATGCACTGTATCTTACATCAACAGTTACTAAGTGATACTAGTCCAAACTGTACCCAGCTCCTGTACAGTTCCTGCAAGGAAATGAGGTGCATGAGTAATTGCTAGCTACTGTGTCCCTGCTTTTTAACTGCAGCTTTGTTACACTACAGTGAATACAAAGCCATTCCTGGTTAGCAGCCAAAATTAGCAGTTTGGAATCTTCTCCCTTCTCTTTAATTGTGGAAGAAAGAAGGAGGTGCTACATCCACAGGAGGGGGTCTAAGCAGCATCTTTTTGTTGAGAACATGCTGCCTCTTATGGCTTTCAGTCTATCACTCTCATTTGTCACCTTGTCTCAAAAGTCTCACCTGAACTGGAACAGCACGTAGCAGGCTGACAGCGTCTGGGACTTCAAATGGACTCAGGGTATGCCAGCATGTGTCCTAACCTGACAGATAAGTGAGGGTGCCTTACCTGCAGGGACAGAGAGCACTGAAGAGGATGGAGAGCCTATGAGGAAGTGACAAAACCCGTAACAGTACTGCTAAATCCAAGGAAGGGGCTATGGTTTGAGCTGACCCACTATTTGTCTATTTTGACTGGAGTACAGTAGGAAATATTACCTGCTTAGGCAGATTTTTGTTTTCTTCAATGAGTAATAAATGGTAAAACATATAAACAACTTCGGTGTTACTTTGAAAATTAACAAGCACACAGTTCACTCTCCAACGTCCTAATGCTATAAAAGCAAACAATATTACCAGGGTTGTAATGACAGCCTTTTCACTGTTTTCCTAGCTGTCATCCAGTCAGTAGGAATTTGACACACAACACAAACAGAGATGAGTTCCCAGTCCAGTGCTGCAAGTATGTCACTTACTGTGTTATTCAGAGTAGGTCAGATCCCAGTGAACTGAAGTTTGTGGCTTGTGTTAGCGAGGTAACCAGTGCAGTTAAACTGAATGATCTACAAGTCTTCCCTTTATGTTCAGAAATCTGAAAAAGTAAGATAAATGTGTTTCATTCTCTTCATTTTTTAATTGAAAAAAAAGTACCATTTAGCAGTTTTAAATGCTGTTTAGATACATTCAGATAAATAAAACTTCAGAGATATTTGACAGTCTCATCCTTCTTCTAGAGGTGTAAATCAAGAATAATTCGATTAAGTCTACTGGAACTAATGAAGCAGCCTATGAAGCCAAAAGGAACTATGAATATTTATACAAGCTGATAATTCAGTAGGGTCCCTATGTAAAGTTACAGGAGAATTAGACATCGCTCTCACGTTATTTGAATGAGACCTGAATTTCATGTGAAGTTCTGACTGATTTTATGATTTGTAGAGTGACCAGCAGAGGGGCCAGGATTCTTCTCTGTGTACTTTGCAGTCAGTCATAGTACTTAAAAAATCAGTGGGCTCAAACACTCTTTATTGTTGTCCCGCACTATCTGGGCTATTAAACTCCCACTTTACGCTTCTGAATAGTGTGACTTCATTCCAAAAGCCAACAGAACCCTTTATGCAAGTAAGGACTGATTGTCATCGTGTGAGGATACATTTTGATCACTTCCATCAGGAAAGAGAAACATAGAAAAATGCTTATGAATTGTTCTTTTATTCATTTTTTCAATTCTATATTTAAAAATCGGAATCCAGTTTTCCTTCAGTCTGATACAGTAACACAGCCACATCATGAAAAATACTTGATTGACTTCAGTCCCAGTTATTCCTGAAAGGCACTAAGTGTCAAATGTAATTTTTCTATGGTGTGCTAAGTGTCTTGAATTCAAATATTTCTGGGAGAACTCCTCCGAATCAGTGGATACACTGTCAGTGAATATGCACCCATTGACTGTACCTGCTCTGTGCCTGAGTACCATTCCAAGGTCATCCTTATAAGCCACCTTGCTATACATTGAAAGGACTGGCTTGCAAAGTCCATGCATAGTACTTCACTAGGAATACTGAACAGGTCACTTGTGCATAATACAACAAACTCATTGTGGTTCCTTCTGCACCTGTGTATCAAGTGCTGTACGGACACTGACGCTCAGTTTAATCTGCTCTCGTGCCAGGTAATTATGTTCGTGTTTGATGTGCAGCAGGAAGCCTGCCTTGAAGTTCAAAATACAAGTTCAAATTTCAATTACAGATAGACCTCATATTTCAGTAATTCTGGTCTCTCTCACAGTCATCTTTAAGAACACTTATTTTGTTGTTAAATGCAATCAGTTTTACATGTTCTTAATTTATTTCAGGCCCTAACGCATGTGTCAGAGGCCTGCTACCCTTTACTGGATGGCTGTAGAAAAAATAGGCAGAAATGGCAATCCTTAGCTGAACAACAAGAGAAGAATCTGATTAATGGAGAAAGCAATCAAGCCAAACGGAACTGAGATGCTGATTTAACAACTACAAGCTTAAGTTCACATAGAAGACATAGTAATAGGGGAGTACTGCATTTTGCTAAACACTGTACGAATTTGGCTTATGTTTTGCCACTGCTGTGTTATTTTTCCACATTTCAAGATATAGCATGACCACGTATATGCCAAGGTTACATAAAAATAGTATGTTTCTTTGATTACATCTGACTGAGATGGAAAAAGATGTGCAAGGGTAATTTTTGCTACCCTGTGCCACAAGAAGGTACGAATGCAGTTACTCGACTGTCCCTGAGAGCCTATTACTTTAAAGATGTATATAGTTGTTTAGTGATCATGTTGTGGCCAGTATTGTAAAGACTACTGCATTTCGCACCTTGTTTCCTCTTCCCATCTTGCTGTGTTATGCTATAAAAGTAATGAGCAGTCTTGCCTGTTCTCTTCCCGGCGGTTTAGAGGAAAGATTGGGACTAACTCTGGGGAGCCTAATCCAGCATATACTATGCTAACCTCTTCTAGGAGACAGAACTGGGCTTTGAAGTGAAAAAGCCCCAGAATCTGTGCATCCAGTAGGTTTTTTCATATTATAGGAATGTCTTACCAAATGTCTTACATTTGGATAAATTTTTAAAAGCTCTGTGAATTACTAGGCAATGGGGGTTTTAGGAGTTTTGTGGTAGAAGTGTCATAATTATCCATGAAAAATGGAAACTGCTTGAAGATTGGTGAAACATCACAACGTAACTGACAGGCAGCCATGGAAGAATGGCTCCCATAGAAAACTGCAAGATGCACACACAGAAATGGAAACTGAACAGGATCATTTTTATATGCTGGTTTTAACTTAATTTGGAAGTTGAATTTAACATCATCATAACCAAAAGACTGAATCGCAGGCAGGAAAAGTACACGAGAATGTGACTGCAAGAGATGAAAATCCAAATCAGAACGATGCAGGCACGGCACTTCTGGTGACTATCAGTGACTGATTCTTTAGGACAGTGTTATTACGAAATGGCTATGACCACTTTGAAGAAAGTTTTATGTTAACATCTTTTAAAAATAACTTTTAGCATTAGTTAATATTAACAATGATTAATCACAGTGTCTTAAAGGAATGTGAAAAAGGATACTGAAAGCAAAAATAGCTGAGAATGCTACAGGGATTTGTATATGAGGCATTAACATTCAGAAAAGTAAGAAATTAATTAACTTGCACTAGTAAAAAGCAACATTTATATTTTATTTAAATGAAGATGACTAGTAAAAATTGTTTTGAATTGGGAACCACTTCAAGAAAATATACACATTAGACAAACCCCCAAAAAGCAATACAAAGAGAGTACTATTCTTTGGGTAGACAGGATGAGGAGATTAATGTCAGCAATCTAAGGTGAGTTAGCAGTAGGTGTAACTTCGGCTGCATAGAGACACAGAAAATGTGGGGGTTTTTTTTAATCTGTAGTAATGATTTTTCAGTTAAAATCAGCAATAGTATTAGGCAAAAGTAATACATTTGGGATTGTGCCTTGAAGTGTGGGAGTTTATTTCTATAACAGTAATCCAGAAAATTCCATTTGGAAACTATAATAAATTCTTCTTCCCAGACGATTATCAATCCCCACCTTGTAAGAGCTGGTCAGAAAGGCAGTGAAAACAACCTCCTTTTATCAGTCGCTGCATTCAGATAAACTATATCAAAAGCTGATAAAAGATGAAGCAAATTTTTCAAAACGTTTGATGATATGGAGTTTCACAGTCAATTTTTCTTTTTAAATGTAGAATAAGGTATTCTGATAGTCTGCAGCATTTCTGCCAACCTAAATTTGTCACGGATTAAATCCTATCTCAAATTTCTATACTGTCTACCAATAATACATTATTGCAGCTGAATGTGAAAACATTTTTCTACAAAAATATTTCTCCTGCTATTTTTTTCCCAGATTTTCAAAAAAGTATGGAATTCAACAATAATTAAGAATTCCAGGGCTATCGAGGGCTACTGGTATGCAGTGCTCCATATGTGTACTTACATGCACACACAGTACAATATATGTATGTAGTACGTCTTAGCTACGCAGAAAAATGACAGCAGCTTGCCCCCAACACACACCCCCCCAAAAAAAGTTTTTAGGTACTTTTGGATAAATAGGAAACTTTGCTTCAGGATTTGCATAGTCCTTGTATATTCTTTTCCTTGAATGCTTGAGATACTGAACTATAATTATTATGCTAACTGATGAGATACATATTTAATATAAATATGAATAAAGTATATGTATATAAAGGTGTATTCTTGCTAGTATGGTTGAGGCTAGTAATTCATGGTGACAACTCACCAAACCAACTATGAGTCATTATTACAGTACAGTGACATATCATTTACATTAAGATCCCAATATTTCTTTGCTATGTTGTATGTTCAGTAAAGCTTTATTATGACATAAATTTATAACTACTACAAAGGAGTGCTGGATTCGTACCTTTGACTTGAAAAAAATGGACATGATTTGCATTTTTTCAAAGGTTCACTTAAAATTAACACGGTTACACAGTATGTACATATATTTAATTACTTATCTGTACACATTTATCCCACAGAATCTCTTCCATTACAAAGATTGGAACATACGTAGAAATACAGTTCCTAGTAAATAAACCATTCCAATGCCATAATACACCTGTATCTGTATATATTTCTACAAAACCAAACCTTTTTAACTACTGGTTTACGAATCTTATAAGCATAGATTGCTGTACTTCACGAAAATTTAGACAGTGATCAAATTGTTTATATAGTGTTTTACTCTCCTGAAGGCAAAGTCAGAGCGTGATGGTTTTGTGTCATAGCTTTGTGTGAACTGTTTGCAGAAATTGGTCTTTTCTCTCATAATGTAGATAGGTGACAATATGAAAAAGACCCAGACTGTCTTCTGCCTGAAATTCACTGTCTTCAGAATTCAACATTTTCAAACGCAGCTAGAGGATTACAGCCATAAGTTTCATCATGAGTTGCGTATCTAATTATTTCAGTCATGTCTCAAATGTATCCTCCCCTCACTTATATTGTCTAGCTAAAGCAATCAGTGTGGATTATGCAAGAAACAAGCTGAAATGGAGTTTATCACTTTGTCAGGTCAGTCTTAAGTCATTAAAGCCATTGTGAAATTTGATATTTAACTCTTCAGGTACAGAATTTGTCCCACTAATTTTTAATACTTGTTTCAATGAAGATAGTATCTGAAGATAGACTAAGTTAGTATCCTACTTGTTCTCAGACATGGACATATTTTCTTTTAACGTCACTCCATAGCATAGTTTAATGCTTAAAGTGCACTTTCTGGTTTTGCTCCTCTTCTGAAAAAATTACTTGTCATACAATTAATATATACAAAATTACTGTTAACCCTAGCTCTTCTAATTAAAATAACCGTGAGGCTCTTAAGCTCTACGTAGTACTTCTTTTCCAACAAGTTAGTCACACGTCCAATATTAGCTGTAGAATGTACAGGTTTTCTATTATCTCACACAATAAAAGGAAGGAGAGGAAAATAATATAATGTTGATTTTGGAGATGGTATTGATTTTTAATTAGTACCAGTTTAAAGTTAAGAGCAGATTACTCTCATGTCTTCACAGAATACAAGTGGGCTAGTGATAAAAGTGAATAATCTATTCCATTGATGAACAGCTGATCTCTCTTTAGAAGAGAGGACTGAAGCCTCATCTCATGCATTACCCTCTGACAATTGCATGCAGATAAGGTTTTGAACTCTAATCCAATGCATTTCATCTGTCAGTAGGATGAACTGACAAAATCAGAACACAGTCTAATTCATATATATTCAAAATTACTAGATAACTGATTTTCTAACCTATCATACAGAAAGATTATGAAAAGTCAGATTAGCCCCTAAAAATTAGGGGATGTTGCCCAAGTGATCTGGTTGGTGCCCCTTGCATTTATGCATGAGAAGATGGCAGAGAGTTTTGATGGAAAAAATGCCTCACTCATAATGAATTCATACATTTTTAAAGGTTTTATAGAGACTTAGTATTTCAGGCAAATTTATACATTAGCTTTAGTTAAGAGTCCTGTCTCTGTGATGCTGTAGTTTCTTCATGTCAAATCACATGCAGTTTACATTCCACAAGATTTCAGCTTTATTTCCCAGTTCCCTGCTGTACTTCTTCAGAGACTTGCACTAATTTGAAAGATAAGCTTGGACATTGGAGCTTGAATGAAAAAATGAATTTGGCCAGAGTATGATAAATAATGAGAGCTGGATTTTTGGTTTGGACTTTCACAGGAACAAGAAACATCACAGAATCTGGCCTGGTAATTAGTGACACTTGCTAAATATAGCAAATTGTGACAGCAAGATATTTTATCTTTGTCATTGCTAGATGAATGGAAATTGCATTGGAAAGCTTATTTTCCACATAAAGAAGTTTGTTTCCATAGAGAAACTCATACCTAAATACCACTGTTTGTAAATGTATATTTATGTGACAGTGCTATATAATAGTCAGTTTCCACTAACTTTCACAGCATGAGCTTGTCATGCCAGGGCCTAAGGCATGCTCAAATGCCCATTGGAAGTCAATTGTATGATTCCCATTTACTTCATTGGGAGTTGGATTGAGCTGTAAAGAAGGTGAAAGACTGGGCCAAATCCCCCTTTTGTACCTATAAAGAGGGACCAAACTCTTACCCTTGGTAACACCTGCCTCACCTGCTCTTTGCTGTATTAAAAGATGCCCAAGGTACCGTACAGATGTAACTGAAGTTAGAATTTGAGCCCTCTATGTATTCACGTCAGACACCTGCATGTGTCTCTTAAAGAATGTAGTGTGAAATGCACTGTAAATAGTTTAATATACATTTCTATTATGGTTTAATAAAAATCTTAATCACAGTCACTAGCCACTGAGTTTGTCCATTTGTATTCTCTTTTATCTTTTAAAAATATTTGAACAAACATATAGTTTCTGGGCACAGTATTTTTGTACTAGGTTGAG